TCGGGATTCAGTAGGAGTCGGTGCCTTGACTGTTTTAGATCTCGATATACCAGAAGGCGGGCGCTGAAGTCTGAAGGATGATGGCGGACCAGTGAGAGAATTGGATCGAGACAATCTAGACCCGGCAAATCCAGTTTCTTCCGAAATCGTGTCCATCGAATTAGCCTGCATCTGTTTAAGTGATGTGTTTTCAATCTTAAGAGTTTGAAGCTCCTGCTGAAGTTTAGACGATTCATAGTTCATCTTTTCAAGTTCCACGGCTTGGGCCTCTAATCCTTCAACACGCGCCCTGAGGCTAGGGACGATCTCATCTCGAAGGTTGTCGCGTTCATTCGACGCATTCTGAAGCTCATCCTTGAGCGCTGTAAGCAAGTCCTCGAAGTTATCCTTGACCTGGCGCTCCTCGGTAAGCTTACGCCGTAGAATATCACAGGTATTTTCCAATTCCTTAATGCGACCAGTAGCGTCGACGTTGTTCACCTTCTCGAGGTCGATTTGGGATGCCCTGTCCGAGAGTTCCTTGATTTGCTCGTCGAGCTGTGACCTTCTAGACCTTTCATCCTGTAGTTTGTTGGTCAACTCAAGCCTAATCTGGGCTTTTTCCTGTTCCGACCTTCTCTGGATCTTCTCGATCTCTTCCCTTGATTGATCATATTCGCTCAATTTGGCCGAGCTGTATCCCGAATCCGAGAAGTAGTCGCTGGTCCTCTTGTTTGCTGTCGTTGTGGGATTATCCCTCTCTGTTTGTAATCTGTCAACTAGATCTTCTAGGTCCATCTCGCGCCGAATTGACGCAGCCAATTCGGCCGAGATGGCCTTTAGCTCATCTTCCATCTCTTCGATTTGATGGTGGGGTGAGTACGTGGCGGTCTCTGGGGTTGCCAAGTACGATTCGCAGTATTCTCTAGAACTTGGGGATCCGAATGGTGCCTTGGGGGCGTCAAGTAGTGATTGTGGTCCGACTGTTGTGACTGGGGATGCATCGGTAACGCTAGTTGTCTTTGAGAAGTGGAAGGGTGATGGGAGAGGCGAAAACCCTTTGTCAGATGTCTCTGTGTTAGAAGGCGAATTCCAGCCAAAGAAGTTTCCTAGCTTTGAAGAGTTTGGAGATTTAGGTAGCGGTTTGTCAGTGTTTGGGGTTTTCACTTCGTAATTGTCAGATGTTGAATCGGCTGGCTTGAGATTCAGTTGTGGTAGTGTGGGTTTCCGGGAGACATGCAACGACATAGTATTCGAGTTATTATAATTACTATTATCGGACGAATCTGAGTGATATCCGTCGTAAATGTGCTCGCTCAGTGGATCCTCCTCTTCGTCGCTGAAAAGATCGTCATAGGTGGACGGCTCGTGGTGTTGCGACTGGTCAGTGGTGTGGTGTGTTTGAGGTGCGTCAGGGTTGTCAGCCCGTGAACTAGGACGTTTGACTTCACCCGCTATGACAGCCGGGATGGAGTCAGCAGTAGCCAAAGGATGACGAGGCGCGGAAGATTTTCTGGTTAAATTCGAGAATTAATTAGTATATGTTGGATTTAAAGGGTTCGCGTTGGATTGCAAATTAATGAGACGCTGACTCACTCCTTGCTTCCCTGAATTAACACGAAATCGTCAGGCGACTCCAAACCGATCCTAGATAGCGGAGGACGAGGGAACTCGTATACCGTAGGGCTATCCACCGAGAAGGAGCGAGAAAACCGTTGGTCTGGCTTGGCCAATCCGTTTGCGTGGGCTAAGTACTCTCCGGAGGAATATCTAGCAGTGACTGGCGACGCGGTCGACGAGACTGGCTTCCGTCGTATGGACCTAGCAGGCGGCGATATGATGGCAGAGCTATCGATGACAAGACCTCTCGTGTTTCTCGAAACCGGCGACTCGGGAACTGTTTCTAAGGAATGCGATTGGTCTGGGAAGGAAGGAAACGACTGCTGCTGAGGGAAAGAAAGATCAGATGAGGCATGGGAAGTCTCAGAGTTGGCCGTGGAGGGCCGGTGCGAGTGGTCTTGCAAGTCTGGCAAGTCTTGCAAGCTTTCATGGTTCGGCATAGACATGGTGCTTGATCTACTCCCTTGTCTTATCACCTGGCACTCATAACTAGTAGTTACTTGGGTAGTTTGACTAGGTAGTGTAGTCGGAATGTGTGGAGAGGTTACAACCCAGGCCAAGAGATTATTGACTTCGGTCTCCCAGACGAGGTAGCAATGGTAGCAATGTTTCACTGGCAATAGAGAAAGGCAACTTGGACGACCTAACAAAACCTAGGATGTCGACAACCAAGAAAAGAGAGAGCAGGTAAGCTGGTAAGCTGGTTAAGGTAGGTAGAGAAAGAACGAAAAGCACCAGAACTCGTCTAGACTGGGTTGTGGGATGCATCGAAAGGGGTATGGCGGCTCAGACTACGACTAGGTAGCGTCGCAATCGGTCTTTTACACCATTATTAGGCCATTTAAAGGATCAAGGATGTTAAGGAGCATGGACAACTATGTGGCTCCTACTTTTCCTACTTCTTTCCCTCCTGCAGGCGCTCGAAAGTTGACAGACATTGATGTACTGCGTGGTAGCGCGTAAGTTTCCCCAGTTGTTCCCTTGGTTGGTCCTGGATGGTTCTCTCCTGGTCCTGTTCTGGTCCGTATGGCTTGAAAGACGCCATCTTACTGGCTGGTCATTATCTTTAACCCCTGCGTATCTTGCCAACCACTCAGCAACATTCCGCGTTGAAGACCCTGTCATGTCCCATTTTGGACACATGCAATTTTAATTCCCTGCCGGTACCTGAGAAGCGAGCAAGATGTTCTGTAGGCGCTCTTGCGCGCATATGGCTTAGAGGGAGAGCGGATGTGGGCAAAAGTGGGTGGAAGATTGATGAATTGACGAATTATGATTTTTGTACACACCTCTTCCAAGAATGCGTAGGTGCCCAGAACCTGTTGTGCATTCTCATGCATATTCTCCTGCATACTGCAGGTACATGCTGCAGGCGAACGGCAAATAAGTAAATGATCGTCGCCACTCGCGGGGTGTTGGGTTCGCTTGGAGGCGTGTGTGCGGTATATGGATGTACATAGAAGGCGAGAGAGGCGAAGCAGAAGGTAATCTCAACTTCGCGATGTCGACTTTCCCTTTTTGAGACAGTTAGATAGAAGAAAGATCGATCTCAATTATCGCATTGCCCGATCCAAAGTAGCGCCTTACGCGGTTGACGGCAGTTGAAAGTCAATTGACACCTATTGTGCTACTATACAGCGGCAGGTAGACTTCAATTGAGTCTTTGACTTTGCATTGTGTCATTATTACAGACAATATAAAATAGAACAATAGCGCGCGGTAAGTTTTTGGCGTTGAAAGAACAACCAAGACCAATCATCAATCGCCAATAGAAGAGTTAATGAACCGAACCAGCAAGGTCAGGGGTCCACGAGGCTCTGCAAACGGAAATCAGAATAAGGAAATCCAACTTCTACGCGTAAAAGCTCTGACCCTAATCAGGTCTTACCAGAGCCTAGAAGTTGATAGATGCTTGGAATGCTTTAATTAGCTCGAGCCTCAAAGATTAACGGTACTGTACAACGTCCAGCGCGTTGTACATGTGACCGATGGACAAAATGGTACTATGTGCCGATGGATTTCACGAAATCCACCTGGTTGTTTCAATTCTCGGAATATCCGACATTTTGACAAACATCACGATAGATCACTTGCATATTTGATGAGACTGAGTCTGAGTGTACTGTGATAGTAACGTTAAAGAATCTTAGCACATTCATAGCTGCATGTCTTCTATTTTTTTTAGGGGTCGTAAGCGGGTTGGTGCTGCTTTTCAGGGGGACCCTTCCCATTCCGCGATTAATTGCTTGATTAACTGTCAGCACTTAGTCCGATCCTTGCGCGCATCGGTGGAACAACTTTCTAACGCCAGATAAATGACCGAAGCTAGATTTTATTATCGTTCAAGTTAGCATGAATAAATTGATAGCTGGTAATCAAATACGAATAGACGAAGAATCGCTATGACGAATTAAGATTCTATTAAACCTAAGGGATGACGATTGAATGCAAGATGATATAAATATGGCGTTACTAATTCCCACGACAAAAATCTGACTGGATTAAAAATAGCTAGCGTCAGGGACCACCCATAGAATTGAAGACATTCCGTACCAAATGTTTCAGGTCCGGATTAGCTACAAGATCTGATTGGCCGTTTAATAGGTGTACCTGAGAAACATTTCGTGATCCTGATTCCTGGAGGCTAAGTGGACATCATTGAAAGTTGATTATATGTCATTTGAGGCTGCACCTGAGACACCCTCAAATAGGTAGCTCGAGGATTTCCATTTCTAAGTCATCGCGCTTCCGGATAACAATGCCTATGCTAAGCGATGAAGAGTAAAAATACAATTGTAAGGCGGACAATTCCCCCTACAATTACAGGTTCCAACCTCCAAGCTCTAAAGGACCAAGGACTTATCTTGATTAAGAAATATTTCCGCGTGAAGGCTGACGCTAGAAGGCTGGGAACCAAAGTATGGAGTCCCCAAGACTCCAAGTTGAAGCTGCAGGGAATGGAGGCTCAACCATGGAGCCTGGTCTATCGCCTGCCTTGTCGGTCATCCTGGTAGGAATTGCGAAGGCACGTGGATCGAAGCACATCCTTCTCTTTAAGAGAAGGTGATTTGAAGCTCGAATTTCTTGTTAAGCTGGCCTAAAAATATCAACGAGCACTGATGGGTTTAGATTTCAGTCTGCTGGCCGTTCGAGGATTTGAAGCTCTCTACACAGTGTGCTAATACATGCAAATATTGGCTATGTGAAAATAAGGCATAAATTGTATTAGCTGTAAGATATGAAAAATGAATTCAGTTAAGCCTCTCCCATACCTCCCCGTCTGCCCCTATTAGTGATTAGTCAGTGGTTAGGGCAAGAGCGACCGGCACAACATCGGAGCTTCGTGCTTACCTATTTCTGCACCACCAATATATTTGCCGATTCGTGAGCAAATCATCACAGCCCGGTTAGCTCAATCGGTAGAGGTTAGTAAAGCCATCAAACATCTGATTTGATTCCTTCAAATACTAACATCTTAAATAGCGTGAGACTCTTAATCTCAAGGTTGCGGGTTCGACCCCCGCATCGGGCTCAATTCCCGATGCATCTCTTCTAAAGAGATACTTCGAATCATATTTTTTTTTTCGATTTTTGCTTTTTCCTCTTTTTTTCCCTCCCGCGTTATGTGCCGCTAGAACTATAGAACTTTCGTTGATGATCAAAATACCCCATCCCACTAGACGCTGAGGTAGATCCGCTCATCGTCACCTAACATCAAGCCCTTGCTTCGCACGGGATGACCAACGCCAATAATCTCGTAGCAGACGGCTCGGCAAGTTCGGGATGAATTATCCTCGGCCCACTACTGCACGAACGATACGCCTGGGTCATTATTTCTATGGCACGATGACGATGCCTTACTTCGTAAGAACCTCACCCGGTTCCCTGTTTCACATCGACGATCCAGCAAGATGCGCCTCCTGACGTTTCCCGGTTTCGTCATCGGCTACCAGCAGGCGGGTACTGACCCAAGATGGCGTCTTCCGGACATTGCTAAAAGTCAAATTCTGGTGGCTTATATGCGACAAGCCATCCAGCCACAAACGTGTATCTATCCGTCTGGTTATTCCCTATTATTGTACCTAATAGTGGAAATATTCTAGGTGCTTATCCGCTGGTGTGGCAGCCACTGCCATAAAGGTTCAGAATAGTGGCTCACTAATGTGTGCACGTAATTAGGTATAGAAAGTAATGCTAAATATGTATTCTAAATGCTACATCTATCAGCTACTGATTAAAAAGGTACTGTCATCCGCTCTAGGTATATATGACTTAGTAATGACTTATGCGCTCATCCGATGCTCTTCGTTATAATATCACGCCCCAGGCGCCACCGTCTAGTATGCAACTCCCAGCAACTCCTCAAAACACGCTGGCCCTGCTCCATTTATTAGCAGCTCGTATCCTCTTTCCGAAGAAAAAGAACACATAAGGCACGGGAATAAGCAAGCACGCAAACCCGGCGAAAATGCTGGACCCGGGCCCGACTCCGATATTATGATATAGGGGCGAGATGACGAGCGGGAAAGCGGCCGCGAAGCAGCTCCGCAAAAATGTGTTGGCGGCTATGGTGCTCGCCGCGTACGTCTGGAATGTGTCGACGAGGTAGTTGAGCGCGGCTTGGAAGACGGTGAAGAAGCCGCAGCCGGCAATGTACAGGCCGATTACGGGGACGATCCAGTGCGCGACGGCTGGGTCCGCCGTCCAGCCGGTCATGAACTGGCCTCCTGCGAAAAGTACGGATCCAAACATCATCGGAGGCAGCCTCTTTTCGGGAACAGCTCTATTACCGGCTGCGTGATAAGCTTTGTTGTAGTATACTTGATTGGCCACGTTTATGACTGCACCAGTGACCGCTCCGAGGAGGATGGCTAGGAAGGGTAGTTCAGATAACAATATCGACCACCCCCTGACTTCTCCGAAGATGATGGGGATTGCTCCTAGTTGCATGTAGAGGATTCCGTAGCAGAAACTGGCGTATAAAGCGACGAGGAAGCAGATCGGTGTACAGAGCAACTGGATGGGACGGATAAGGAACTTCCTCGCGAGCTCAACAACGCTTACATCCCATTCCTCAAATTTCGCATGCAAAGCCCAATTACCCGTCTCGAACCTTAGTCGTTGTGCCTTAGTGACGAGAAGTCTTGGCGGGTATGTCTCGTCGATGAAGATGATTGCGATGAATAATATAAAGGCTTGTAGTATTCCAGTGGTGTATTCAGTCCATCGCCACCCGAGATACGGCTGTTCCACGACGGCGGCCGATACGATAGGTCCCACGGTAGGGCCACCCACAACAGCCATCGCATACCCGGCCATCGCGATACCTCTATAGGCCGGTGTATACAAATCTCCAAGCACGCCGCCGGTATTCGTGACCGGCGCTGAAGCAAAAAAGGCTCCCCAGAACCGCATCAGCATGAGTGTCTGAAAGTCCTTAGCCGTCGCGGCTCCGAACGAAAAGCATATCGAGATGAACATCGGAGTAAGCACCGCCACACGTCTGCCGTAGACCTCCGACAGCGGCGCCCAGAGCAGAGGTCCTATACCGAAACCAACTAAGAACAGAGTCGTGCCTAGCGTTGCGACTTGCTTGCCGACGTGGAAATACTCAGCGACCTGCGCCGTGCCCGCGGAGTACGATGAAGAAGCCCAGGTGGCGGCCATGGTGACTAAGCCGTATAGGAGCGTCGTCGTTACTTTCTTTTGCCACGGCCAATTCACCGGGCGATAGGGATCATCCGGTCCGTCGAAGTCAACAAGGTACTCTTGGCCCGTCTTCACCTTTGCGAGAGGGTGGGTGAATGGCGGGACCTTTGGCCTGGAGCGCACTCGTGAGAGAACATTATCCCGACGAGAGGTCGTTCGTGAAAGGGACCCGTCTAGATCATCCCGACCGGTTGCGCTGACCTGCGACGAGCGTTGGCCGGGAGTACATGGCCGGTGGCCGTCATGGTCCTTTTCCGATTCTTGACATTCGCAATCTAAATCCGAGCCGGGTGAGGTGGCGGGTGATTCAACATCTGGAACTAGTGCATCAGATAATCTGCCACGCGATTGTTCAAGGTCGTCGTCTTCTTTACTACTAGACATTATAAACCCTTTCCAAAAGAAAATTCATAGGTAAATTCGTATTTGAGCTATGTAAAATGTAATCGCGAGTGGAATCATTCCTGATTGCATATATACTTTATTTACATCATGCATTCCATTATAACATTTTTAATTGGAATTGACGCCGAAGTGCCGAGGCCGAGTTAGCTCATCATCATTGTTCTATCCCGATTGGAAATCTGATGACGTACCGCTAAGTTTATATCCGGGTGACATTTTCTACCTGCGTAGGTGCGTGGGTGGCTTTTATCCGTGAAAAATAAGTACAATCACGGGATAATGAGTCTCTAAACGTTCTATAAGTGGACAATGTAGGCAGATTTATGGACCTGAAAAAGTTCCAGGCTTGCATCCCCGGAGCCGTTCCGGCTAAGACGGCTACCCGCAGCACCGGATATCCGAACGCTGCAAAATTTTATCTCACAATTCATCTTACAATCTAACAATAACGCCAAAATCTTGAATTTGGATATATTTTTCATGCATATGAAATCACCCCTTAGCAGAAATGAACCTGTTTTATAATATATTCGTTGATTTGCAGATACTTGAAACTTGAGCTCCACAACGGCGGATACCGAAATATGAGACAAAACTCTGCGAAGCAATTGGGTCAAACTTTCATGAGATATCTCAATGCAAAATATTGAAATTAGACAATATTCGTCATAACTGGAACCAATGCCATCAGAATACTTACTTAGTTACCAAAGGATCTTCCAAATGAGGAGTTGTTGCCACTCCAGATGAACCCCCTATTGACTTTCGTAAGGGGCTCACACGGCGAAGAAGAGACAGCGAATTAGATGTTGGAAATATTCAATCTAGATTCTCTATAATCTGTAGGTAGGTATACACTGGATAGTACCGGTATGTATCCGTCTAAATTCCTGTATGTCATCAATTTTCTGCATTTGTCCAATTTTCAACAATGACTCATAGGTAAACCAGGCCACATCAGAGCTTGACGTTAAACCTGCCCCGTATCCTCTCACCGAATACGTAGAAAACAACGGGTATCGGGATAAGTGCAAGCGAGATGAAACCGAGCAAGCTGTTGCCCCATCCAAGGCCTAGCGCATTATACATCTCTAGACCACCAAGGGGAAGCAGTGCCCCTAGCAAAGACCGAAGAACAGTCATTGCGGCCGTGACGGAGGCCGCGTAGCGGAGGTACGTATCGACGAGGTAATTCTGTATGCAAAACTGTGTAACATGTAAGCTTTAGACGGACATCAAGGTAACGAAACTTACCATCACTCCCATGAGCCCGGCACTGAATATGAGAACGCCGATCATGGGGACGATCCAATGCACCGCGTACTGGGTAGTCCATCCGTATATGAACAGGCCGATGGGAAGTGTGAGGCCACAGGGAATAGTTAGCCCGGGCACAAGCCGAAGTTCGGGTTTATGCGCGATGTTCTTTGCCTGGTTCCGCTTGACCATCCAATCTACGATCTGCCCGAAGACGATAACGCCAACTATGAAACCTATTCCGGCTGGGAGAAACGTCAGGCCGTTGTCGCCCTCGCTGAACCCGTATTGATCTGTGAATACGAACGAAAAGGTAGTAATAAGAAGGTATAGTATTCCATAAGTTATCGCGATATATAGCGACATGAGGGTGACGATCGGCGTCAACACTAATAGCTTTATTGGGCGAACTATGGCTGCCTTGAATTTATTTATAGGGCTGAGTTCTTCCGAGAGCTTGCTCTGCAAGTTTGTATTGCCTGTCTCTTTGCGGAGCTTCTGGGCCTTGCGCTCGAGGAGGACAGGGGCGAAAGTTTCTCTGAGGAAGACGACGGAGATAGGGATGAAAATTCCGGCCTGCCTACGTTAGCTTGTCACGACTCAACTGGAAGAAATCACTTAAAAACACAACGTACGAGAATAACCATCAGCCAATACACCCACCTCCAACCGGCAGCTTGTATCAGGTAGCCACCGGCGATGGGGCCAATACAGGGTCCCAAGAGAGGTCCCAGTGACCAAACCGACATGGCTCTGCCACGTTTCTCGATTGGCATTATGTCAGCGATCGTGCCACTTCCGATAGTGATGGGAATAGATCCGGCCAGGCCCATCAGTAACCGAAACGCCATCAGCATCCCAATGCTGTTAGAAAGGGCCGCACCGACTGTAAACAGAACGAAGACTATGTTTCCTACTACATAGAGGGGTTGACGGCCGATGATTTCGCTTAGCGGAGCCACGAGTAGTGGTCCGAAAGCAAACCCTAGGATATATATCGATAGAAGGAACGTGGCTATAGTGGATGATGTCGAATGAAATTCCTCCATGATGCTAGGTATACCGGGCGCGAACATCGAAGAACCTAGGGGACTATAAGATGTTAATACCTATAAACGAGCACCAGGACTTGGGGGTAAGTGAGGGATAATACCTACGTCA